CATGGGAATTTACTGTTAGATAGAACTACTTGCAAAATCAATAAACTAACCATGCAAAATAAATCCAGATCTAGTATAGGCTACCTTTTTTATGCTCCAGAGTTAGAGGAACCCTGCTTTCCCTTTTTCCTACTTGTAATCTCCGAGCTTATACTACAAAAAAGAAGAGAGTTTGGTACTTAGAAGTCACCATTAGCTTTCTATTAGTAGAATATTTATTCAAGTTTTTATTAATTACCTTCCTGTTGATCTAGAATTAGAGGCAGCACCCTTTCTCTTCTTACTAGCTGTGGGTTCAGGTTCCAAGTTTTGACTACAGTAATATTGAAAGTACTAGGATGAGACACCATGAATTGGAATCTAAATACAGAAAGTGGAAATTGAGCTAACCTTGGTGGAAAAGTCATAGAACGTGTTGGTGCTTCATCCTCCATTGGCACAATAGAACTCTCTGTTGATTTGGTAACCTTCTTCCTCTTTTTCGGTGTTCCTCTACATAAGCAAATAGATACTAAAGAATATGATCTAATTAAAAAATATGCATAGAAGATGAAATGTACCTAAGAGTTTTCATTGATTTAATATCTTCTTTCTTTGCCCTTCCTGCAGATTGTGCCAGTGGTGCCCATATTCCTTCTGAGATAGGACATTGGTGCTGCCCTTTTTACCCTTCTTGTCACTCTGGCCTTTGTGTCTCTCGGTTTTATGCCTACCATTCTGAGACATTAGTAGTGGTCCATACATGAAGAAGCCATGGGTAGATTTAGGCCCTTTGTGTCTTGTCGGGAATAGCAGGGATTAATGCACTATAGGCTCCTCTAAATTTCTCAATGGAGTAGTAGAAGTCAACATATTTGTCAATAGGTGCATTAGGTAGTCTTTGTAATGAATGCAAGGGCATGTTTGCAAGGAATGCCAGAGACTTGCCATTGTTTGCAAGAACATGTTCGATCAACCAAGTTCACCACACAAACCTAAAGCCGTTGCCACCAAATAAGGTAATTTCACCACCTCTTACGAGCATTACGATACATCCAAGTTCAATTCTCTACTCTGTTCATTTAGCTTCTTAATTATATGGGGAAGAATGAAGCCATCTAATTTCTTTCAATTTTTCTCCTTTGGTTCCACTTGATCATAATTAATTGTCGATCTTATCCAGTCAAATCATCCAAATTCATGGACTTGTCTTTGCTTAATCCAATTGTTGAAGCTCTCCGCCAAGTTGTTGGTCACATAGTCCACTTTGCAAATTGTTTTGAATTGACTTCTAGTCCACAACTTCTTGTGACGTCTTAGGTAATCAGTTGCAGCAGGCTTTGCTTTCTCCATCTTAGCCCAATGCTTCTTAAACAAGTATGGGTTCCATGAGTAAGTTGCTGCCCAGAGGTGATCATCAAACACCTTCCCACGGCACCTCTTTTTGAAATTAGTCACCAAGTGAAACATGCACTCTCTATGCTCTACCTGTGGAAATACTCAGCCTGTTCGCTTGTTGGTTTCAGCCAGTCCAAACCAGCCAGCCAACAGTGTTTTCCTCTCACAAAAAACCAGCACCAGCCAGCCCAAACCAGCACCAGCACCAACCAGCGAGCAGGCCCACTTTAGTAACAACTCCCATGATTGCCTGTCCTGCATCAATGCTTATTGCCAAACCCGAAGGTGACCCAATAGCCTCTCTAAGCCTACTCATGAACCAGATCCAATTGTCATTAGTTTTGGAATAAAAAACTCCAACACAAACAGGATACAACCAACTATGTCCATCAATTGCACAAGCACTAGCCAATTGCCCCTTGAACTTGCCTGTCAGGAAGGTGCTATCTATTGCCAAGTAAGGTCTACAACTATTAAGGAACCCATCTATGTAAGGTTTCATGGCAAAAAAGAATCTCCTAAATCTGAATTCCCCATTTACTATGTAATGGTCAATAATTACTTTGCTACCGGGACAAGAGCTCTCAACTTGTGCTTTGAAACTAAACAAATTATTAAAACTGCTATTCCAATCACCATAAAGTTGTTTCATTGCTAGTTGTTGACCCTGATATACCCTCTGGTAGTTGATGCTCACCTTGTGGTGTTTTTTAATTTTCTTTTGCAATGTTGTTGCTCCCAAAGTAGCATCTTCTATCAGAAAGTCCTTCACCTTCCAACATATCCAATGTTTGGTAGCATTCTTTATTCTCTTCTTCCTTCTAGTGCTAGGACAATCATGAGCAAAGTTATTCTTCTTCACCTACAAACGCATTTAAGATAGCTAGTTAGTAAAACATAACATTGTCATACTACATGTAGCAACTAAAAAAATTATTCTTACCATAACAGTGCATTTGTACGCCGTGGTAGATGCATGTAGCCTCCATGGACAATTATCCTCCACTTTCCTTGAACAATAGGCTCTGAACCTACTTTTTGAGCTTTTCTCTGTATTGAATTCAAACTCATGTTTGATTGCATGTTGACAAAGAGCCAACTTGAACACGTACATGTTATAATAAGTAGTGCCTACTTCCATAGGAGGATCTTCTTCATCGAAATCAGCAATTGGGTGATGATTTACTTCTTCATATGGCTCATCCTCATCAGCCTCTAATTCATCCTCATCCTCAAACTCCTCCTCTGAGCCATCCTTAGACTCATCCTCCGAGCCATCCTCACCGTACTGCTTTTTCCTTCCTTTTGAACATCCAGGCACATCTGGCATTCACAAGTACAATGTCCAAGTACATGATCTCCTCATCAACACCAACATGTTCATTCTTTGGTAAAGGATTTCTAAAGTAATCATCGTCATCCTCCTCTATATTGTTTGCGGCTGCCCTTCAACATCAAACTCCCACTTAGTGATAGGCTCAAATTTTTACGAGGGATCACAATAAGCGACAAACATCTCTACAACTTTCTTCTTCTTGTGTACATCAAACATAGACATCAAATCGATCTGATTTTACTCTTTGGAAAATTCTTAAGAACATTATCATAATCTTGAACATGTGGAATTTCTAAGTAGCACGGAGGGTACTTCTACAGAAGCGAGTCAATGAAATCCTTATAATTGACAGATCCGAGTCAACAACCATATCAAAAACTAAAACATTTGACATCCTTTCTAGCCTTTTTGCGATTGCCAAGCAAATGAATTTTCAATAGAAAATTAGTAGCTACATCCATCTTGTGAAAGCACAATAACGTCATGCATGAGAACTTCAACCTATGGCGAACTTTGTACTACTAAATTTTGCAGTGGTGTGATGTTATAGGAAATACGTAATAATATAGCAAAATAATATATTTATACTAGTATACCATGTCACAATATCATAAGACATTTAGAGTATGTGTTAAATTCATATAGAGTACCTCTTCGCCCACAACTATCAATAAAAAAGTATTGTATCAAACATTCAAACATCAGTTGTTTGCGGATCAATTTCACTACTACAGCCTATAGGAGAATCAAATTTAGATTTCGGAACACTGAATTGACACAAGGGAAAGGGAGAATAGTTGCCAAAGCCTAAAGACCAATAACGGTTTAGCTTCCACTGGCCTCTGTACGCGGCCCAATAAGCCTAGCTGGAGTCCAATAGTTTTCTGGTCCGCAGAATCTAGTGTGCCCGCCGTCGTCTACCTCCTGACTCCCGAGACACCATCCCTCGCATAAAAAAACAGAAGCCAAACATGGAGAATAGTCAGTCCGTAGACATAGAGATAATAAACTCACCCTGCAGGGAGTTGGTGTTGTGTCCTAGATGTGCCGCCTTCCACTGTGGCCGCGACGCCCGTCTCCATGGCCGCGAGTGGCGCTTCCGTGGCCGCGTCGTCCTCCTCCGAGGCCGCGCCGCGCGGCAACGAGATCGCGCCGCCCGCCACCAACGCCGCACGGGGTGCTTGCTTGGCCGCGCGAGGCGCGTGCTTGGCCGCGTCGCCCGCCCCTGTGCCCGCGTCGCCCGCCTCCGAGCCTGCGTCGCACGCCTGCTTGGCCGCTCTGCCCCCCGCCGTGGTCGCTCCGTCCTTCCACCTCCATGGCCGCGTGGGAAGGCGGCTTGGCCGCGCGCGTCGCCTGCTTGGCCACGCGGGCGTCCGTCGTGGTCGTGCCGACCTCCGCCATCGCCGCGCGGGCCGCCTGCTTGGCCGCGCGGACCTCCGTCGTGGCCGTGCCGATCTCCGCCGTGGCCGCGCGCGGTGCCTCCGTGGCCGCGACGCCATCAGCCGAAGCCGCGCCACCCTCCCCAGAAGCCGCGCCACCCTCCGCCTCCATGGCTGCGCCGCCCTCGATCTAGGGTTAGGGGAGGGAAACGACCTGTACGACCACGACTCGAGACGAGTCGACCAAGTTACGAACTGCCGCGGCGGACTTCATTTTCTTTTCTTTAGTGACATGGCATTATGGTCTTTTTGTGTTACCTCAGTTGGACAACTAACGATGTTTCCTCACAGATCTGACGGAAGTGTCAAGTAGCTAACAAAAACTCAAGTTAGGGACATATAAGAAAGATTTTTAGTTTTGGTGTCAAATAAGAAAGAAGCATTATTTTTAGGGCTAAATACAAAATTTTCTCTAAAAGATTAGTCCAACGTTCATGAGCATGATTATATCTCATCTAGTTTCCTAAAAAAAATATCTCTCATCTAAGATCTTTTTTTTTTTAAAAAAAGATTGTCTCATCTAAATGAGACATGCAAGTTGTGCAGGCTTGTGCATAGTGAATCACTACAAAATTGAGCTTACGCACCACATTGATGCTGACGAAAATGCATTTGAAGTCATCTGCACCTAATTTTGGTTATGAGAATAAAACCAATTAATTAGCTAGCTGACTATGTATCAAAATGAAACAGGTTCTCTGCATTTCCCTCTTACTGCTCTGCCTCCACATTCAAGTTTTACTTCTGCATTTTGCTACATATATAACGTATCATTCAACTAATCAACAAGTTTCGTAGTTCCTACTGCATTTTGTTTTTTTCTCTATATGTATGGAAGTGGTTGCTCATTACAGGCCATGCGGTACTAGGAATAGGAAGTCGAAGTAGTAGTACTACAAATAACACAAACACGGCATAATCGCAGACGATAGAGAGATCATGCTAAGTCGATTGGTGCACCCCAGATGATAGATACCTGATATGCAGCACACAACGCAAGACGAAACTCTAGGTAGCAAGCTAGCGAATCAAACAGATTTTTGTGATATGTAGGTAAAGTTTACCTTGGGCAATCTTGAGCGGCAGAGACCAAGGGAGGACGTATAGGCACGAGGGAGCCGCTGGCCACGGTGTCACCAGCTCGTAGGAATCTTCGATGAACTCCACGACTCTGCGCTCGGGCACGTTGACGCTGAAGAGGCGCTCCTCAAGCTCCAAAGCGAAGCAGACTAGATTGGCGTCCGACGGACACACGAGCACGAGCACGGGAACCTTGCGCGGCAGCCGGGTTGCCTTGTAGCTGTCGTCCTCCCAAATCTCTGCGAAGCTCATTGCGTACTTCATTTCCCACGCAATGGTCTCATCGTTGCCGTCGGCAGCGGGGATCCATGACCACATGGACACCGTTGCTGCTTCGCCCTCAGGGATGATGATCTCCACGTACCGCAGGCCGCCTTGGCTCTCGGTGATGCATCGGCGGTCGTGGATGTTCGGCGGGGCCTTGTCGAGAGCGCGGCCTTCTGGGAGGCGGCGAAAGCGCAGCGGAGGCTCTTCGAGGTCATGGAAGGGGTCGAGGCTGGTGATCCCCCACGAGAGGTCGAACCACCAGAGGATCTTCTTGAAGGAGACCACACCGGAGGGAACCCACTCGCCGTCGCGGTTCGTGTCGTTCGGCAAGGGGTTTTGCGTTGTCTCCTGGAACCACTTGTTGAAGCCCGCAGAAAAGTAGCTAGACGAGCATGGCGCGCCTGCGGCCCTTGTGTACCATGAGCTCGGCAATGAAGTAGGCTTTGCCGTGGCCGATGGAGACGAACCCGATGCTCTCAATGTTGGCGACGACGGCATATTTGCCGTGGCGAGGGGGATGCGCTCGGCGGTGGCCGTGACCGGGTGGCCCTGCTCGACGCCAGAGCAGTCGAAGTGGCGCACCATGGTGAGGTTGCTCTGGTAGGGGCGGTCAGCGAAGCACACGCCGTAGAAGGGCTCGACGCCGAAGTTGAAGAGGATGCAACCGGAGCCGACGCCGAGTACGTAGGGGTACATGTCAGGAGAGTTGCGAACGGGATGGGCGGTCGGGGCCGCGGTCATGACGGTGATCCGCGGAGGCAGCGCGACCGGGATGGAGAAGTCAGCCGTGTGCTCCACGTCCGCCTCGTCTTCCGAGGAGAGCTCCGCCTCGTCAACCCCCTCCGCCTGCGCGTCTTTCTCGACCTCCTCTTCCGAGTCGAGCTCCGCCTCGTCAACCCCCTCCGCAAGCGCGTCGGCCTCAACCTCCATTCCGGCGTCAAGCTCCGCCTCGTCAACCTCCTCCGCCTGCGCGTCTTCCTCGACCTCCGCTTCCAAGTCGTGCGCCGCGGCCTCCGCCTCGTCAACCCCCTCCGCCTGCACGTCGGCGTCGACCTCCGTCTCAGCCGACGCTTCGCCTGCGACAACGCGGGGGATACGGGCCAGGATTACCCACGGCCACGGCATGGTTGCTTCGGTTCGGGGGCATTGCCGCTTTGGGCAGAGAGAGAGAGAGCACGCTGACGGATTGGCGCGATTTGGTGGCGGCCTCGCCGATTTGGTAGACTTTTATGTGTACCCTTAAAAAAGAGGTGTACCCCTTAAAAGTTGGTCGTCACCTACATGCCCTCGCTCGAACTTTTCTTTTTCCTCACGCCATTACGTCAGCATTCTGTTAGGTTTTGGCCATTTGGCGGCTCTGACATGTGGGACCGGGCTAGAAAAATATCCTCCTTGCCCTCTGGGTCACTGACATATTGGGCCGCATCTCCTTCGGTCTCACCCGAGCCTCTCTCTCAGTCTCTCCCCATTCTCGTTCCTCACTCTCTCACCCGAGCGCGGGAGGACGCGGCGGCGGATCTGGAGACGACGGCAGTCGGTGTTGGCGGCCCGCCCTCGAAATCCTAGCCCCGTGGAGCAAGACGGTCGGGCGGAGTAGACATGCCGTGGAACGGACCCGGCGAGAGGTCAGATTGGTTCCGGGAAGAGTGAGTACCGCTCCTCCTCCCTCCTTGACTTCGCCCCTCCTTGTATTGATGTTGATTGCATTAGTGTATTGCGCTACCGAATCGTGTTTAGGGTTTATTGATTACGTGCTCCTTGTTCATCTGTAGGATGGACCCAAACAGTAGTTACAACCTAGAAATGCGGATTGTTGGTCCCAATTGTCGTGCAAAGTGGTTTTCTGTGAATGAAGTGGTGGATGCAGACAGAACTTTATTAACTGGGCTTATGGAAGATTTGGTTGACAAGTATCCTCCTAGCTATGGTGATGTAGCCACATTGTTTTACTGGTGCATGCATAGTAAAGTTCACATACCTGTGCGCAATGATCAAGAGATGCTAGCAATGTTTGAAAAAAATAGAGCAACCAGACATGCTTGTTGACTGTTGCATATCATAGTCCTGGTACTCAGCCTGTGCTTCCTGATTGGGAGTCTGGTAGCCCAAGGAAATCTGTTGAGCCCCCATTCACTCCTTCAATTGTTTCTCCAAGCATAGCAGAACCAAGCCAGCCATCTATGTCTCAGCCACCCAAAGCAAGGCAGCCATCCAAGTCTCAGTCACCAAAACCAAGGCAAACATCCAAGTCTAAGCCACCCAAACCAAGCCAACCTGAGTTCCTGGCTAACCCAAATCCAATGAATGAGCATATGGGGATTAATGATGAAGGCTTGTATATTGATCTTGGTCCCAACCACCCTCCACCTCCTCCTACCAGTTCTCAGAGCCAAGGGGGAGTAAAGAAAGGGAAGAAGAAATAGATCAATCCTCTGATGAGTAAGTTGCTGATAGGGATGATGAAACCAGTGACGAGGAAGATGAGAAAGTAGAAATAGATGAATCCTCTGATGAGGAAGTTGCTGATAGGGAGCCTGAGCAATTTCTATTTCCTAATGTTGAATATGACAAAGATGACCCTCCTATGACAGTGGGAATTATCTAACCAGATATGGCTTCTTTTAAGATTGCTTTAGCTAGTCATGCTGTTAAAGATGAGTTCAACTATGAAATTGACAAGAGTGATACAGGGAGGTATACGGTGCACTGTTCTATGAGGAATGAGGGATGCCCATGGATACTGCATGCCTCAACTTCAGCTGATGGACATGGCATTCAGGTGATGTGTTAGTTCAATTTGTGGTATTGACTGCTACCTGTTTTCCTTGCATGTACCTAGCTGCTAACATGTGTTTTTTTCAACTTTTTTTCCAGGTGAAGGTGAACCCACATGAGCATGGAAATGGCTGCCAGAGCACTAGGAGACAAGGATCATGTGTTGGACTTAGTCAGTTTTGGGTGTGCAACAAGGTAATTGATTGGTTGAAAGAGGATGGAAATGTTGGTGCAAAAGAGCTGCAAAAGAGGCTGAAGGATCTGTACAAGGTTCAGATCAGCTACAGGAAAGTGTACAAAGGTAAATACCTTGCAATGGATCAACTTTATGGGCCTTGGGGCAAGAGTTTCCACAATTTGTTTAGGTTTAAGGCCTAGTTAGAATAATCTAGTCCTGGTTCAGTTCTTGTCATTGATCATCACACCATCAATAATAAGGTCAGGTTTAACAGGCTTTTTTTTGCTCTGAAAGCATGTGTTGATGGATTTCTTAGGAGATGTAGACCATATCTTGCAGTAGATAGTACCTTTTTGACAGGGAGATTTAGGGGACAGTTGTGTGTTGCATGTGCAGTAGATGCCCACAACTGGATGTATCCAGTTGCTATTGGTGTGATTGACTCTGAAACCAATGAAAATTGGATCTGGTTCATGGAGAGATTGAAGGAGGCAATAGGCACTCCAGAAGGCATGACATTCCATACAGACTGTGGGCAGGCAGTAATGAATGGAGTCAGTCAAGTTTTTCCAACAACTGAACATAGAGAATGTATGTATCACTTAGTACAGAATTTCAAGAAGAGGTATAGTGGTAGAGTGTTTGATGATCACTTATTGGCTTCCTCATATTCATAGAGCCCATACATGTTTAAGAAGCATTATGAAGCAATGGCTGTAGCCAAACCAGAAGCAATGAAGTACTTGCAAGAGAATCACAAGAAGCTTTGGACCAGGAGCCAGTACACCACACTGTCAAAGGTTGACTATGTGACAAACAATTTGGCTGAGTCCTTCAACAACTGGGTCAAACCTGAAAAGTGTAAGCACCTGGATGACTTGCTGGACACTATAAGGCAGATGCTTTTGATCAAGTGGAACCATAGGAAGAGGGTAGATGCTAAGCTCAATGGCAAAATTACGCCCCATATCATGTAGAGGCTTAGGGAAGACACTTACAACTTGGACATAGATGTCATCACAGCCTCACCTGAAGGTGCGGCAGAGCTGTGTGCTAAAGGTCTGCAAGGAACTAGGTTCAGGTTTGTGGTCAACCTAGCAGACAGGACCTATTCTTGTAGGGTTTGGCAGGGGTCAGGAATCCCATGCAAGCATGCCATTGCATACATTACCTCAATTCCTAGCGCAAAGCTTGAAGACTATGTGGATGAGTACTTCTCTGTCAACAATTTTAGAGTTGCATATGACGGCTCCATCCCTAGCATACCTGACAAGAGCATGTGGCCAGAGGCAGAACCAGGCTTTTTCTTGAACCCTCCTCTTCTTAAGTCCACAGGTGGAGGTAGGAGAAAGAATAGGATGAAATCTGCACTTGAGGGAGGCAGCAGCCAGAGGAAGTCAAAGAAACATGAATGCCCCATCTGTCATCAGTTGGGCAATCACTGGTACACTTGTAAGAATGGGAACCCAGAAGACATAGCTGCAATGGAGGCAGCAAGGTAATCTGTTGTCCTATGCATATAGCTACCTTTGCATGTACATAGCTTTGCATACACAGAAGCTAATCTATTTTCCTTTGTAGGGGCACACCAAAGAAGAGGTTGAAGAAGGCTGTAGCAAGCAACACAGAGAGGAGTCTTGTGGTGGCCCAGCCATCCCAGATGCAGTTCCCATTCAATGAGGCAGTGGCAAATGCCATCCATAACAAAAGGAAGAGGAAGTCATCCTCTTCTTCAACCTCCTCATAGAAACACAAGGGTGCAGCACCAGCCACCACTAGTTCAACCTCAACTCCTACTAGTGTGTCTACAAGGTACCTGTTCTTTGCCTCATCTTTTTCATTTCAACCAGGTGGAAATCTAATGCATATTGTTGATTGTCAGGTCTGGAACTGGTTCAAATGATCCAGTCCCACTCTTATCTGTGCATTTGGTTTCTTTCAATGAGGACTCCATTACAGTGGACACCTAGCCTAGCCAGCCAGTTGATGACCTCCCACTTGAGCCTGTGGATCCACAATGCACACCAAGAAGAAATAAGGGAGCAGTGAAGAAGAAGTTGACACCAAAGAAGCTGCAGTAAGAAACTCTAGTGATGTTCTATTGGTGCTGTGATGTTCTTTTTTTGGCCCTGACGCATGATCTTTTGGTACTTTGATGTTCTTTTGGGGCTGTCATGAAAAACCTTGTCTGAATTGATGGTTCATGTTAGTGATGTGAACAAACTCTAGTAATTTAGTTTCTATGTGTAAACTGTAAGTGATGTGATCAAACACCATATGCTGTTGGTGATGAAACACATTATGCTACCAGTTATGTGATGGATGAGTGAACTGTTAGTTTCTTTGTCTTAATGTTGTTATGAACCATGAGAAGCATTCATTCATTCATCTATTCATTTATGCATTGATTGATCCATATATCCATGAAAACTCTCACACACACAATAGCAGCCTACTTCTTGAAAATAGCATACAAAGCAAGCACCAAGCACAAATACACAAGTTTTTCAATCCTCCTAAGCTGCTGCTGCACCCTCTTGTCCATTGGTGCATGGCCTTCAACTACAGCTGTCTGGGAACCTTCCTGCAAGATGGCCAGAGGAGGAGCTGTGGGAAAACCACCAGGTGTTGCCACTGCCTGCAGTGGAACTGCTTGGATTGGTGTAGTTGTCTCCCCCATCTCATCCTCCCACTGATAGTACTGACATCCTCCAATCTAAAATCCAACATAGAGACTGAGCAAAGAGGGAAAGACAAACAATGTTGACCAAAGAGAGAAGCACAAACCCATGAAATAAGGGCACTTGTGAAAGGCCGGTTGGGGTTAATACGGTCGTCGAGATGAAGCGATTGGCGAGCACATTGCGATTCGGGCAAAGCACACGCCGCCTTGGCGCACCACCATAGCTGCTTTGCTACCTTGTGACATGGATGTCAAAGAGAGAGGGCTCAAGAGAGTGGCAACTCCACGGCCTTTGGCGCCAATATATAGGAGGAGAAGGCGGGGCTCTTTGGCGCCAAATCCACATCCTTGGCGCCAGCAATGGCGTCTCTGGCGCTAAAGCCAATTATTTGGCAATGGCATTGGGGAAACAAAAAGTTCAGACGCACATACAAGCTCAAGGGCAATCGAGTCATTCTCGAGCCGTTATCCACCGTCGAGAGCAAATCT